TGATGGGACACAGCTTGGGGGACCCTCACCAGACCCAGGCTAGGGCCAGCACCTGCCCTTGAACTTCAAAGTTGTGCTAAGCAAGCCTCTTTACAAAGTTAGTCTGTCCTGAGTCTTTTGTTATAAGCAGTGAAAAGCTGATTGCTCCACTAGGCTCTTGCAGATGCCTGCACCTGCCAGTGACAAGCAGGAGATGAATCCAAGAAGGGAGACATCCAAGACCAGACTGGTGGCCATGGACATTGGGGAGACAGAGCGCAGCTCCAGATGAGCTGGCCGGAGCTGCCCTTCCACACCCACAGTACGGGCACACTCTGGGACAGTGTTGGTGGCCCGGAGACCTTCAGGATGTGTCAGGAGGGGACTAAAGGCTGAGGAAGTGGGGGCACCAGGCCTCCAGGGGTGGTGTGTGAGTAAGAAGGGGCTAAAGGCAAGAGCAAGAATAGGAAGTGGTGCTCAGTGTCCCCCTGGTACAAGGGGGATGGCAGAGACAGTCCACCTCACCCCAGGCTATGGCCAGGCCATCAGGCCTGGCTGCACAGGCATGGTGGCCTGGGACAAGGCTGAACTCAGAGTGAAGGCAGTGAGGCAGGCCAGCTGTGATGCCCCCAGGGCTCCTGGCAAAAGATATCCTGCCCAGCCCCACCTGGTATCCACACTACTGCCAAGGCCCTGTGCCAATGAGACTGAGTGGAAAGGAGAAAGCAGCAGGGCCCAGAGCTCTTCCACAGGGACACAAGGGCCAAAGCCAGACAGGAGCCAAGCATCGTGGTGCACACCTGTGATCCCAACCCTCATGAGGCTGAGGCAGGAGGATCATCACAAGTTCCAGGCCAGCCTAGGCTACATAGTGAGTTCAAGTTCACTCTGAACTACACAGTAAGACCCTGTCTCAACAAAACAAAACAAAACACCCCATCAACAACAAACAAGTGATTTGAAAATATGAAGTGACAGAATTTAGGCTAGGGGTGCAGCTCAGAGGCAGAGTACCTGCCCAGTATGCACAAGTCTTGAGTTTGATCCCCAGCACTGCTAACAAGAAAAAATAACCCCAAATGCAAAGTTTTCCAATAAAAGGATTTTTTTCTCCTAAGATTAAAACCATGTTCTGCTTCGCAATACCTCAGTGGGCCAGTGACTGCTGCACAGAGCTGCTTGGAGGAAAACTGAATAATTGCCATACTTATTCTCCAAGGGATGGGATCTGCCCAGTTTTTAATTTTTATTTTTAAAATTTATGTATGTATTTATTTTTGAGACAGTCTCATTATGTAGCCCAGGTGGCCTTGCACTCATGGTGATCCTCTTGCCTCAGGCTTCTAAGCGCTGGGATTACTGGTGTGTACCACCATGCCTGCTTTTTTGTTTTATTTAGTGTGTGTGTGTGTGTGTGTGTGTGTGTGTGTGTGTGTGCAAATCCACTGGGCTGTGCTATGGGCCTCTCACACCAAACTGGGAACAGCAAATTCTTTGAAACTCCTTTGCAACCCCAGGGGAACTGCCCCAACTTACCTCTTCCTATCCCTTTTCTAGCCTTGCACCACTGTGATATCACCTGAACATGACAGCCACAGGCAGGGACCTTCACTCACCTTGGCCACGCTTCCCTTCCCTCGACACACTGAACTCTCCTAAGCTCCCTGGAGACCTGGCCCCTAGCACTGTCTGACTGGACCTCCTCCAAGTCTCACAGATCCTTCTAGAAGTTGGGTAACCAGACTTGCAAGTACTGCCTCAGGCTTGGACAAGCCACAGCTTGAAAGCATGGGCTACAGAGCCCTGTGCTGTGCCTGACTGAGTCCCGGCCCTACAGAACACTCCCACCACCTTCCTAGCTGGAAGACTCCTGCCATTGTCCCTTTCTGGAGCAGGGCCCAGTGTACTTAACAGACGCTAAAAGGCAACTTGAGACTCTGTTCAAAATCAATGTTATGGGGTTGAATTGTGTCCCTCAGAATTCATATGTTGGAGCTGGACACAGAGGTGTGCACCTGTAAGCCAGGCATGGTGGCAGCACACCTGTAATCCCAGCACTTGGGAGGCTAAGGCAGGAGGATTGCTCTGAGTTCAAGGCCAGCCCAGGCTGCACAGTGAATTCAAGGCCAGCCTGAACATCATAGTGAGACCCTGTCTCAAAATAACAACAGCAAAAAGTAAAATTAAAAGAGAAGGGTGCACCTATAAAGAAAGGATGATTGAGCACAGTAATTTGAGGCCAGCATGGGCAACGGGGTAAGACCCATCTCACATGCATAGATTGAGGTCCTGAGCCCCAGTATCTCCAGCTCCCCAGTGCATAGACATGGTGGTGACTTATTAGAAACAGAATCTTTGAAGATGGAATAAGATACATGCAAGGATGAGGTCACAGCGGAGTAATGGCTCCCACCCAGTATGACCTGTGTCTTTCTAAGAAGAGGACACGCACAGGACAGACACACAGAAAGACAACAACAGAGCAGAGACCAAAGTGACTGTTGCCCTGAGACACAAGGAGTGCTGGCCACCCTTGAGGTGAGAAGAGAGCATGGCCACTGCCCGGGCCTTGGTCTTGGACTTCAGGCCCCTGTATCATGCGAAAGTCCATTTCTGTCACTTGAGCCTTCGTGAGTCTTAGCAGACTTCAAACCTGCAGCGCCCTCCTCATAGTGGGGTGAAGTATGGGACCAAAAGCACACGGCAGGGAACCTGGCTACTCAGTTGTCCCTTACCATAAATCTCTAAAAGGTTATTTAAGTTGAAACTGCACATATATTTCATATGTTGATCTTGACTGGCTCTGGCTATTAAAAAAAATACAAACTGGGCATGGTGGGACAAGCCTGTAACCCCAACACTGGGGAGCTGAGGCAGGAGGATCACTGCGAGTTTGAGGCCAGCCTGTGCAACGTAGTGAGCTCAAGACCAGCCTAAACTGCACAGCGAGGCTCTGTCTAAAAAAAAAAATTAAAAACAAACGGTGCATTAATTTTCCCAAATAGAGTTAGGTTATTTCCTATCTATGACTTGGGTTCTAAATGTTGGCAGTGTCATGTCCCCACCCCAACCCGCAGCTCTCGGACTGAAAATGCCAGTCTCACTGAAGAATGAGCGGGTTGTTCCGCAGAGGTAAATGGCAGTTAATAGTTAACCTAAGGGTTATCTCTTGGCAGCTGTGAATCAAGAACAGGCCTACTTAGGAAAATAAAATGATACTCAGGTCTGCTTTCCAAAAGTTCCAGCTAGGAAAGCCTTATCTCAGCATTTCATATGGGATTAGCTCCAAACCCGTGTTCCTGGTGGAATTCTGGGTGGTAGGACCCTCAGCTCACTTCATTATTTATTTATTTATTTATTTATTTATTTATTTATTTATAGGCAGGATCTTGCTATGTAGCTCAGGTGAACTCATTATGTAGCCCTGGCTGAGACCTCAAACTAATGGTGATCCTCCTGCCTCAGCTTCCTGAGTGCTGGGATGACAAGTGTGTGTCACCACGCCCAGAAACTTTGTTATATCTGAAGCAGCTTCCAGCTTCAGGAGGCCACCTGCCTGTGCTGTTTAAATCCAAGCATCATTCGCTGTCCCTTCAGAGGGACGCCCCCCCCCCCGGGGCTTCAGGAAACGGATGTAAGCAAGCCACGGTTGATGATAAATAACCATCAGTCATAAAGCTGCATTTCCTGTGACACACCAGGGCCCTGTGGTATTTGCCCTCTGTACACAGCAACCACCACATCACAAGGCCCCCTGCCCTGATACCCCCGTGCTCCTCTCTGGATCACTGTACACATACCGCACAAATGAAGCAGGTGTCATGCCAGGTGTGCCCCAGGGCTTCGATGAACTTGTCCCCGGCCTCCACAGGGAAATCGCAGCCATGACACTTGGTGCTGAACAGGTTGACGTAGTCTGGAATAAAGGGGGTAGTGAGGACCAGGCAGACAGGCGGGACCCAAGGCCAGGGTAAGCTCTTTGTCAGTGAGCTGGGGCAAGCGCAGGACACTGAGCTGCCAGCTTGCCACCTCACCTGAGACAAAAGCTCCGCTCCTTAACTGGTTCCTTTTCCCAAACTTTTTTGTAATTTGTGCCAATGTCTGTAAACTCAGGCTGAGTTGCCACCTTAGCTGGTCGTGACTGTAAACACTTTCCATCTAGAGGGTCACCAACTTTTTTTTTCTGGTACCAAGGATTGAACTTGGGACCTTGTGCTTGTGAGGCCAACACAGTGCCACTGAGCTAAATCCCCAGCCCAAAGTTCACCAACTTTTAGCAAGGTGACTGTTCCCTCTGCTTCTGTCACTTCTGAGAACCCAGACACATCACTCCCCAAACAGGAACGGAAACAAGCTGCGGAAACAAGCTGGGTGTAGTGGTACCTACCTGTAATCCCAGTACTCAGGAGGCTGAGGCAGGAGGATCACTGCAGGTTTGAGGCCAGCCTGGGTAACATAGTGCGTTCAAGCCCAGCCTGGGCTACAGAGTTTGACCCTGTCTCAAAAAAACACCCCAAGAAAAAGAAAGAAAAGAAAGCAATCCCCATTTCCCAACAGCTCTGGTTATATTGGGAGGATGAGGGTCCTTAGGTTTAAGAGTTCTAGAAAGTTCTTTGCTGACCATTCTTCCATCATTAGGTCATTAGGTGTTCATGTTGACAACAGCTTTTCCCCTCTGCAGACAGCATTTACTCTCCTTTTCTTGGCCCACCCTCCTCCAACAAAGGAGACGATACTACTAAACACTGTAGTGCGCTTCACAGTTTACTGGACGTCTCCGGATGGATGGTGCTGGGCATTGAATGTGCCCAGGTTCAGGTGTTGGAAAGTCAATTCTCAAGGCAACAGTGCTGAGAGGCACCTAATTGGAGGTGTTCATTCAGCTCTGCCCTCATGATTAGATTCCAGTCATTATTGAGGCCATGGGCTCTTCATGGTAGGAGTGTGTTTCTTTTTTTCTTTTTGGTTTGGTTTTTTAAAACAGGGTCTCACTATGTAGTTCAGACTGGCCTTGAACTTGCAGCAACCTTCCTGCCTCAGCCTCCCAAGTGCTGGGATTACAGGTGTGCACCACCACACCCAGCTAAGAGTGGATTTCTTATAAAAGTGACTTTGGCCTCTCCTGGATTTTCTGACTTCCATGGGGATGATGCAGTAAGAACGCCTTGACTAGATGCAGCCCTTGACCTTGGACTTCTCAGTAGAGCCCTGAGCCAATTAAGGCTGTTCACTGTAAGGTTGTAAGTCACCGGGTCTCTGTATCCTGACGCAGCAGCTCCACACAGAATAAGACAAGTGGTATCTTTTACGAGTATCTCATGCCAAGGACCTGTTTCCTTTGTGTAGCACAAAGCCTGGCAGAGTCAATACCCCACACGTAGTAGTGAATGAATGGAGCAGTGAACGAGGAGAATGAGCTGTGCTTCTGTTTAATCCTCACGGCAGCTCTGTGACAAGGCACTATTCCCACTTCAAGGTCGACAAGGAAATGGTCTGGACCAGCTCCATCATGCAAGTCCCACCGAGGGCTCCAGGTTTGATGGACACAGGCGTTACCCTCCCTCCCTGACTCTGTCTTCAGATCCTTATCTATCACCATTGAACTTTTGTTTATCTTTTGCATATTTTTCAAACCTTGGCTTTCTTTCCCTTTTGTGCTTAAGAATATTTTTTCATGCAAATGATCTTGTATATCCCAACCCATCTTGTCCCTGACAGAAGACTGAATTTCCCCAATAGACAGAAATGTATCACCTTGCCAGAGCTAAGAAAGTGTCACACTGCTGTCTTTAAAAAGTTACAGAATATTTAGGCTTCACTCTGGACTATTACCTAACCCATCTCCACGTGAGGCCAATCCCTGAATCCCACTTCTGATTACTCTCTCATCATTCCCAGTCTCCAAATCCTCTGGGCTCTCTTACACCTCCATGGTTCTGTGTTAACTAGGTCCTGGGTTTGGAAATCCCTCCCCACATTATCTTCCTGAATTCTGTACTCCGTAGGGTCAAGCCTTCCTACTGGGAAATCCTAATGCTGCCCCCTCCAACCAAGAGAGATGAGATGGCCTTACTGGGGGCTTTTCCTAGGCTCCTCTCATCCATCCATCCATCCATCACATGTTCATCCATCCATCCATCCATCACACATTCATCTTTCCATTCATCCAACTATCCATTCATAATCAATCTATCATCTATCCATCAATCACCCATCTAGCCTTCCTTCTATCCATTCATCCATGTATCCATCCACCACCAATTCATCCTTCCATCACCCATCATCACTTCATCTTCTATCCATCCATATTTTTATCCATCCATCATCAACCCGTTGCTCACCCATCCATTCATATTTCCATCCATCCATCCATCCCCTGAATGCCAATGTACATGCCAGTGTACCCCATGATAATGGGTTTGTGTGAGGGTTTTGAGGGCAGAGACTGCCATGCCTACCTCTATGCTCAGTGCTTCCCGTGGGAACCAGCATGGAGCGCATATTCAATACACATTTGATGTATAAATGATGAACAGAAAACGAAGAAATGGCTCAGCCAATCTTCCTAAATACTGATGCCTTCTCATGTCAGGTTTGCATAGATACAGCTTTTACAGTGGCTTCAATCTATTTTTGAGATATCTGTACCTGTTTATTCATTGATTTTTCTATTTGAAACTTGATTTTGTAGTAATCTGGAGAACTGCCACTTTGTTTTGAAATTTGGTAGCATAAATCTGACCATAGCACATTTTATAAGAGTTGGTATCTGTCTTCATTTATCTCTAGAAGAAGGCCGTGGGCCCTGAATTAAGTCTGCACGTGCAAGGGCCTTTCCCAACAAGAGCATAATTCAGCCCTTCATTTATTTATTTCTTCATCTGTTCCTCCTTTAGGCCTTCATAATTTTCTTCTTACGTCCCAGGTGGAGTTAGTACCCTTGCATTTAATGGATTTTATTGCTATTGTAAAAGGATTTCCATCCATCAAATCACAGACTCTCTGTGTTGAAAAAGTGCTTACTTAGTGCAATGCTTCTCAAACATGGGAATCACATGAGGGGTTTGTTGAAACAGGGCTCACCAAGCTCCATGCCCCGAGTTTCTGATTCACAGAGCTGGGATAGGGCCCAAAGGGGTGCTTTTCTAACAGGTTTTCAGGCTATGTTGCTGCTGCCAGTCACTTTAAGAACCAACTCTAATTCTCAGACCCAAGTATCAAAATCATGGGGCTAGGGCAACACCCATGAGATTCTTCTGCTTCTGTGGTCTGGAAATTTCTCTTCTCTCTAGTTTTAAAGCTCCCCAGGGGACTGTGACACTGGCCAGGTGTGGCAGCTGCTCAAATGCAGATCAGAAACTTTGGGGGTGACCTTTCTATCTGGCTTACTCATGTCTTAGATAAAAGTGGCCACAGATTCTTGCAGTCAGCTGAAGTCTTTTTGAGTCTAGACTCCATGATTTTGGCTCAAAGTGCAGATTTGACAGGATTCTCTTCTGTATCTTCCTCCAATTTGGAGATTAAAAAGGCACCACAGTGAGATATCACTTCACACTGATTAGGACGGCTGCTGTCTAGAGCCCAGAAGGTGATGCGTGTTGCTGAGGATGTTGAGTATCTGGACTACTTATGCCCTGTTGGTTGGGATTGTCCTGAGGGCAACTGCTATGGAAAGCTGTCAGAGGCTTCTCAAAAATCAACATGCAATTTCCACATAGTCCAGGAATCCCACTTGTGTACATAGTCCCAAATAATTGAAAGGAAGGTCTTAAAGGGTACCCACATTTGTAGAAGCACTATTCACAATAGGCAAGGGGTAGAGCCCAAGTGTCCATGCATACAGACAAATGAATGAACTAAATGGAGTAGATTCTTACAAACTAGTATTGCTTGGCCTTAAAGAGGAGAGAAATTCTGACATCTATGCTATGGTGTGGATGAATCTTGAGGACATTAGGCTGCGTGAAACACGTCAATCACAAAAAGATAAATGCTATATGATCACGTGAGGTCCAGGTGTAGCCACATTCATAGAAACAGAACATAGAATGTGGTTGCCAGAAGGTGAGGAGAGAGGGAAATAGGGAATTATTTAACAGATACAGAGCCTCAGATTTACTAGAGGAAATACTTCTGGACATTGGTTTCACAGCAATGCAAAAATACTTAACACTACTAAGCTGTATACTTAAAATGGTTAATATGGTAAATTTTACATTATGCATTTGTGTGTGTAGTTTTTGTTGTTATTGTTATTGTTGTTGTTGTTTGAGGCAGGGTCTCTCTATGTAATTCAGGATGGCCTTGAACTCACTGTGTAGCCTAGGGTGACCAAACTTGCAGTGATCCTCCTACCTCAGCCTCCCATGTGCTGGGACTACAGGCATGCACTGCTGCACCTAACAGGGCTCAACTTCCATGTCTACACACTTCCCGCTGGACCCTGCCTCAACTCCCTCCTGATATGCGCAGGCTGTGGGTGAGCAAGGGAGTGAACGGCCTTTGAACCAGGACTCCAACTGTCTTATAAAGCGTGGCGTCTCCCGAACCCACAGTGACTTACTGCACAGTTTAGGACAATGCATAGCACTGTGCACAGAGAAACTGAACTCAGCCGATGAGGGACAGCAGAGTCTGAGAAGCATCGTAGACATGGGGAGCACACGAATCACCCTCTCTGGCTCACCTCCACCACAACGCCAGAAGACATGTTTACAGATGTTTACAGATGGGGAAAGCAGGGTTTGGAGCAATCTGGTCACTCACTTGAGGCTCCTGAGCCAGCCCGAAGTGGTACCAGGCTGGCACCTGGGTTGAAATCAGAGCCCAGTTGTGTGCAGAGCAGCCCCAGTCTCCTGAAGAACCTGGCAGGTCTCCCAAGTGGCTCCTCGACCAGCTCGTGGCCCACATATTCAAGTCAGAAGAGAGCAGAGAAGGGGTGTGTACCATGAGCTGTACACTCTGCCTCCTTGCTCTGGAATACTGCAGCCAACAAGGGGGACAGTTCAGTCACCTTCCTTGTGCCATAGCAGCACCACTCTGCCATTAAAACCAAGCCAGAAGCAAGAGCTGGTGTGCAGTTCAGTTGTAGAGAGCTTGCCCAGCATGGATGAGGCCTTGGGTTCAATTCCCAGCACCCCAGCTAAAATAAAACTCAAAAAACCCTTCTTAGCCTGGCATGATGGTGCATGCCTGCAATTACAGCACTTTGGGAGACTGAAGCAGGAGTATCGAAAGTTAGAGCCCAGCCTAGGCAACTGAGCAGCTTAGAGAGGCCCTGTATCAAAAACTAAAAAATACAAAGGGCTGAGGATGTAGCCCAGGGCACCCCTGGTTCCATTCCCAGTACTGCAAAAGAAAACCACTTCGACCAGGTGTAGAGGGGTCCGGAGTGAAGGGCTGCAGACAGCAGGGAGTGTCCCCCTGAAGTGGGAGCCTCCCCAGCCCATGGGTGCTGAACCTTGTCCTGGTCCCACCTTTCTCACAGTAGGGCTCCCCGTCCTCCATGTGGAAGAGGTTGTTCCCGAAAGGCTTCTTGCAGGCTGCGCACACGAAGCAGGTGGTGTGCCACGTCTGTCTCAGGGCGTGCATCACTTCCTGGGGACACAGGGTGCACTCAGGGGACACAGGGCCCCACACAAAGTGAACCCCAGGCAGGGACAGGGCAGAAGGGTCCTGGAAGCGTCCTCTCTGGGGTAGAAAGGGAGTCCCTTCCTCCTTCTGTTAGCAGCAGCAGCTTCCTGGCTCCTCATGGGACTCCACAGCCTGGGGGACAAGGGGCGAAGGTGGGCAGAGGAAAGGGCGCTGCCGCTCACCCCCATGATCTTGGTGTTGCACTTGGCGCACATCGGGGCAAAGAACTGCTTGTAACACCTCTCACAGTACACGTTGTTCTGCTCCTCCACAAAGCACATGTCTGCCAGCGAGGTCTTGCAGTAGGCACAGTTAAACTCTTCTGGGTGCCAGGAGCGGCCCATGGCCACCAGGAAAGGGCCCCTAGGGAGGTAGAGAACAGCAGCTGATCAGAGACTCCCAACTCAGAGCCAGACATTCTAAGAACCCCAGCAATGCTCTTACTTCTACCCAGTAACTCTCGCTTGGTGGCTGATCTAACGGAATAATAAAACATCAGAGAAGGCACCATGTTGAAAGGTGTTCTAGTCTGATCACTTTCAGTGGAGAGAACCTGGAACTTGCTGGGTGTGGTGGTGCATGCCTGAAATCCCAGCACTCAGGAGGCTGAGGCAGGAGGATCACCATAAACTCAAGGCCAACCTGGTCTACATAGTGAGATCCTGCCTAAAAAACCAAATAAACAAACAATGGAAGCAACTTAATCAGTCACTGTGTGGGACCTGGTAAGCACGTGACAGAATCCAAGTGACCACTGCTAATGACAAGGACAGGGATGCTGAGGTGGATGCTAACATTCATGAAGTGCTTCCTCCAGCCCCGGCACAATTCAAGAACAAGTTTGCATCTATTAACTTTGTTTAATCCTTTCAACGATCCTATGGGGTAGGAACTATGATGCCCATGTTCAGGAAAAGAAATGAGGCACCAAATGATTAGGTTACTCATGGAAAACTACAGGGCCAGCAAAAGGTAGACCCAGGATCCAAAACCCAAGTCTAGCTCCAGATTAGAATCCTGGGACCATGAGGGAGGATTTTTGGTTTTGTTTAATTTTTTAACTTTTTTTTTGTTGCAGTGCTAGGGATTGAACCCAGGGCTTTCCCTCCAAGGTATATCCCCAGCCCTTTTTATTCTTAATTTTGTTTTTGTTTTTGTTTTTTGACACAAGGTCTCCCTATATAGTTCAGGCTGGCCTTGAACTCACTTTGTAGCCCAGGCTGGCCTGGAACTTGCAGCAATTCTCTTGCCTCAGCCTCCCAAGTACTGGGACTACAGCCGTGTGCCACTGTGCCTGGCTTTTTTTCAGTTTTGAGATGGGTCTCCCTGAGTTACTAAGTTGCCCAGCCTGGGCCAGAACTTGCAATCCTCCTGCCTCAGCCTCCCAGAGTTCTTGGTTTACAAATCTGCACCACCTCCACCAGGAAGTTTATTGTGTTTTAATTTTTACTTTTCCATATTTTCTAATTCTTCTCTAACAAAGATTCATTACTTTATTCTTAAATAAGAGTGTATCTGTCATATACATAAACTTGTCACATGCACACGCACACACTTTTGTATTCAAACCAGCACCATCCAGAGCCCTGCTTCTCAGTGTGAAGTGACTTGTTCCCATGCCAGGGCAGTGCCCACCCCAGGCCTGGGCGGCACAGGCCTGTCTGCAGAAAGCAACCCTGAAGCAATGCCAGGTCAAAAGCAGCACAGTCAGCCACTTTGCAACAGCCCAGTAAACCCACTGTGACAACCTGGCAATTCCCAGAGCCCGGCCCTGGCCCATGGGAGCTCCTGGTGCTGCACCCACTTACCTCATGGCACCCTCCCACCCCTGGGGACACAGGTGTCACACAGGGACAGGGCTGCTGCTCAGAGAGGGTCGTATCCAACCTGATGGCGGCCCGCACCCTCCTACCCTCCTGACCCCACCTCGGGGCTGAACTGGGAACACACAGTGCCTGCCCTTCTGGCGCCCAGGGAACCCTACCGGATGACACTGTTGCAGTGGCCGCACAGTGGAGTCCTGCTGCTGGCTGGGAAGCGCTCGGCTCTCTGCACAGTGCCCCTGGCCAGGGTGGGGACCGAGGGAGCCCCTGGGGTGTAGCCTGGGGCTCCCCGTGGCAGGTTCTGCTTGCTGATGGAAGTGGTGCTTTTGTTGGGAGCAAACTTCTGAGAAAAGCCGTCATCTGTCACCCACGGGGGGAGGCTGGCAGACTCCGCTGGGCCACCACTATAGGCTGTCGAGGGTGTGGGGTTGTAGCTGGGAGCAGGTGAAGAAGGGGTGTAGGTGGGAGCAGGTGAAGGGGTGTAGGTGGGAGCGGGGGAAGGGGTGTAGGTGGGAGCAGGGGAGGGGGTGTAGGGAGCTGGACTGTAATTGGCCCCCAGGGCTGGGCTGTAGGTAGATGTAGGCACTGCAAGGCAAAAACACCCAAGTAAAAACACATTAGGTATTTGGTTCCCCTCCCACCGCCACCCAGAGGGCTGCAAAAGGCAGCTTTAATATTAGAGCAGCGCAAGCCTAGTTTCTATGGGATGTGAGTTCCTGAGCTACTCTTGACTGGGAGCCCTGGGAGCCTTCGCAGGGCTGGGCAGGACGCAGCTCTAAATTCTTGCAGCCTTGCAGAAGATGGGGAGAGGGGCTGGGGGTGCCAGCTCAGCCTGGACCCAAGGATGCTGACTGGATGTGGATCTGGTCCAGCCTTGGGGACAAAGCAGATGGCCTTGCTGCTGGGTGCAGGTTTCTTTTCTTTCTTTCCCTTTTGTTTTTTTGGTTTTGGGGGGGTTTTTGTTTGTTTGAGACAGGGTCTCAATTTGTAGTTCAAGCTGGCCCTGAACTCACTATGCATCCCAGACTGGGCTTGAACTCACAGTAATCCTGCTGCCTCAGCCTCCTGAGTGCTGGGATCACAGGCATGCACCACCATGCCCAGCAGAAATATTGCGTAGCATAATCAATTTTGCATATTTGTGTCTTCAGTCTGAAAATCCTTTTAGGATATAAATGCATTAGAGTTTCTTCATTTGCATAATGGAATCCCCAACCCCCAGTGCTGTCACATAAACAGTTTACTAAACTTTAAAAAAAAACCCCAAGTTGCTGCTGCCTCCCGCTGGGCAGCCTAAGGGTCCAGCGCCCCTATGCCACTTCGGGCAGCTCTGGCTGGGGTTGCCTGGGTCTCTGGTCTCTCCCCTCCCTCCCAGCCCCTCTGTCTCTCTCTCACCTGGTGCCCAGGCCATTGTGGCCCACAGCCCCAGCCCTGAACCACCTGTCCCTGCTGAGCCAGGGCTGGGACAGGCACACAGCTCTCGGGGTGGTGGGGACCCTGCCTGTGCTGAGCCAGCTCCGGCCCTGCCCTGGGGGTCGCTGGCTCACAGATGCCCCTTCTCCCCATGGCCTCTTCCTCCCATTCAGGGAGGGCTGGACACACCTAGCAGGTCCTGGGCATCTGTCCTCACATTGTACCCCGTGACACTCGAGGTCACCAGGGCCCAGAGTGAGACTCCACCCTTTCACTCCACACCCTGAGCCACCTCTGCAAAGAACAGGAGTCCAGTTTCCAGACAATCCTGGTGTTCCAGCTCATCGAGGAGTTGCAGTCTACCTGGAAGAGGCCTCAATGGTGTGTGGCCCAGGCACCAGACCTGGAGTCGGGCTGGGGTGTGGCTCAGTGGCAGGGCATCTGGCTGGCATGTGTGGCTCTGGTTCAACCCCCAGAACCACGAAAATAAAGAAGTCCTTGCTTCACATCCCAGCTCTACTTCCTGGCTGTGTGTCCTGGGCAGGTCCCTTAGCCTCTCTGGGCCTCAGTTTCTTCATCTAAAATGCTAATAACAAGGTCAGGTGTGGTGGCACACAGCTGTGACCCCAGCACCCATGTGTCACTGAGTTTGAACCAGAATGTAAAGAGGCTGGCAGCTGGGGTCAAGGTTGGCCTGCGCTGTCAGCCAATCTCAGGGTGGGGGTCACAGGTGACTACTTTGGGGTGGGGGAGGGAGGGGGTGTGACGCTCTGAAGTCAGAGGACCTGCAGCGGCACAGCCTCATCAGGGTGGTGGAGCAAACATGTGACACCCGTGTGCCTGGGACACTGGGCTGGCGGGGTCCTGCGGAAAGTTGAGGTGGTGTCTTCCCAACAACCTTGCCTTGCTCCCTGCTACTCAGAACAGGTGGTCTCAAAATGGGAGGGGCAAAGGTGACTTGAGGGCAACTGGGTCAATTCCTGTCACCTGTCACTGGCTTCTGTGTGAGGGTTCTGTTTTGGTTTTGCTCCTACAGCTCTGCTAAGAGGCAGGAAGGAGAAAAGCCCTGGGAGCTCCAGAAATGTGGTCGGTCTAACCCAAGAAGTGCTCTTCAGTGCCAACACACACCAGATTATGAAGACTCAATTAAAGATAGGAATATAAAATATCTCATGAATAGCAGTGTTATATTAATTACATGTTGAAGTGATTTTTTTTTTTTTTAAATCTTGACTTGGCCTAGAACTCCTGGGCTCCAGTGAGCCTCCTGCCCTACCCTTCTGAAGAGCTGGAACTATAGACATGTGCCACCTCGACCAGCTCTGAAATATTTTGAATATACTGGGTTAAATAAAATGTATTAAGTCAGGTGTGGTGGTGCACACCTGTAATCAGAGCATTTTGGGAGGCTGAGGTAGGAGGATTTCAAGTTCAGGACCAGGATGGACAATTTAGTGACTTATGGACAGCCTGTCTCAAAATCAAAAACAAATAAAGGGGGGTGTGTTGGAGATGTGCCTAAGTGCAAAGGCCCCAGGTTCAATCCTTCGAGCCACACATGTATACGTATATGTATATGTATATAAATTTTGCCTGCTTTCTTTCACGCTTCTTTTTTTTTTCTTTCACTCTTTAAAAATGGGGCTATGGGAAACATTTCCTTTTGGATGACGCTGCCCTAATCAAAATCGAGGCTACCAAGTGTTGACGGAGGCCCCAACCCTGAGGGCACCGAGGCAGATACATCTCAAGTCCATGCAGTGGGGCTTGGGGAGCACGCCACCCCACCCCCGTCCCGCACTGGGAGCTGTGCAGTGAAGGCTGCAGCTCAGGGTGTGACCTCCTCCAACCCCGTCCAAGGCCCAGGTGGCACGGGGACCCCATTTTGGACTGGGGCTGCGCCCCCGGGAGAAGGGTCCCTGGGCGCCCTCCATCCAGACTCCCACTCCCTTGGAGGGGCCGGGGGGGGCGCTGCTTCGTCCCTCTGAGCCCCGAGACCTGGGTGGAGACGGCCGCCCATCTGGGCCCTGCGGGGGTGGCTCTTCCTGACTGACGGCACCGAGGCTGTCCATATTAGAAGGTGACATTTCGTGGAGTTCAAAAGGCCCCTATCACGCCCTGTGGCCCGGGACTGTGTCACTAACAAGGTGACCTGTGACTCACGCCGACCGGGCCAACGTGGCCGTCGGGTCCCATCTCCGACCCCGCCTGCGCCCGAGGTGTTCCGGGCTCCTCACCGTCCGCAGCAGCCGGGCCTCTCGATCCTTCGGCAGCTGCTTCCCAGGAAGGGACGCGGAGGTGGCCCTGCCCCGCTCCTCTCCGGGCTTAATTTGGGAGCCGGCTGGCTCGGGAAGGCCCCTGGCGCCCCCTGGTGGGCACACGGGGTGGCGGAACCCGGACTGGGGGTGCGGGGTGCGGGTGCAGGGCCGCCCGGAAGACGCTCAGGGCCCGCCCTGCCCTGGGTCGGAAAGGCGCCCCTAGCGGTCCGCTGTCGGCCCGGAGCAAGCGTCTCAGCGCCTCCTCGTCCGGTGCAGTGGGGACCGCGGAGCTCTGTCTCTGCTCCCTAAGGGACACCGAGGGTGCCTCCGGGGTGCCAAGCACCGGTCCGGGGGTCACGAGGTGCACGTGGTGTCGCCCCGTTTTACTCTGGGGTGGGCTCTCAGGCCCGGCCTTACGCTTTGTGTTCCAGGCATGGACAAACCTGTCCTTAACTGGTCACATGCCCCGGTCTAGACTGGATGTGCCCTACCCTCAACCCCGACTGGGATTGAACCCAGGGACGCTCCACTGCAGAGCTACAGCCCGGCCCTTTTGATTTTACATTTTGAGACAGGGTCCCAGTTACTCTAGCGAGACTCGAACTTTGGATCCTCCTGACTCAGCCTCCCTCAATGCTGGGATTACAGGTGTGCACCACTACGCCAGGCTTTGTATGTGCCCTTCTTCACCCCTGTGACTGCTTGGCCAACTTGAAATCTTGCATGACCCAGAGAAAACTTTCCTTGTCCCCTGCCCTGTCCCTTAGAATGACCTTTCCCAAGCAAGTCCTCAACTTTCTCCCTTGGTCAGTTTGTCACAGGCAAAATTGGTGTGGGGGGGGTAGGGTATGTTGATAAACAAGGAGGCTGTGCAAGGGGGGGATGTATATGGGAAAACGCTGTACCTTCCACTCCATTTTGCTGTAAAACTAAAACTATTATATATAATATATATTATATATTTGAGAGAGAGAGAGAGGAGAGAGAGAGAGAAAGAGAGAGGAGATTCGCTGTGTAGCCCAGTCTGGCCTTGAACTCATAGCGATCCTCCTGACTCAGTCACAGGTGTATACCACCACACCTAACTAAAACTGCTCTTTTTTTTTAAATCTATCGAAATCTTCCATGTATAAAAATTTTGAGGGGAGATGTTTAGATCACTAACTGTAGATGCAAAATCATTATTGTTTTTCATAATTCAAGGTGACCATAAAGAGAAATATGTTGAAAGTACAATGCTTGAAGTGGAAAGCATGTGGCACCTTACCCACCCCGGGAACTGTACCAGGGGCCACACTGGGCACACCTGGGACCCATCTCCCGGTGCACACAGCTGCCAGCGTGCAGAAGCAAGTCCTGCTTTGTCCTGCCCGCTCCCCACTGCCTGAGTTGCTCCTGGCCCTGCATCCATCTCTCCCTGCATTTCCTGTGCCCTCACTGAATGTCCCTCATGCCAGGCCCCAGTCAGATGTGCACAGGGTGAAGAGCCATCCTGCCCAGCCCTCCTGACTTCAGTTGGAACCTGTAGGGAAGGAGAGGATGTTTCCTAGCCTTGGCCTGCATGCCCAGAGCCCTTATAGGCAACTCTGTGTACCAGGGCACACGTGACCTCCCCCGCCTGGGCACACACTGGCTGGAGAGCCCTGGGGTCCTTCAGCAGGCACTTGCAGAGGAAAGGAGCTGCCTAGCAGCTGGTATCACCCTCAGGCCCTGGGGATCAGGCTCAACTTTCCCAGCAGAGCAGAGCAGAGGGCATGGCTGAACCTGTGCCCCATGAGGAGCCCTTGGGCACTGACGAGACAGGAGCTGTAGTCCCGTCTCGGTGAGGAAACCACAGACCAGACAGGTTGAACAACTTGAATGAGGTCCCACTGTGATGCAACAGGTAGGCCCAAAGCCTGCAGGACCTTTGTTATTTTTTGTGCCAGCTTGAGCTGGGCCCAGATTCATGGAGGATCAGCTCCCAGCCTTGTCCTGCAGGCCCTCTTCTCCCAGCTTGAGCCTGGATGTCTCCTGCCTGTGCTCCAGCAGCAGGGGCCCAGCTGACCTGCATCCTCAGCCCTCCCACCCCGTTGCTCACCTGGCTGGTAGACGGAAGGCCGGATGCTGGCTGTAGTGACAACCCGGGGCTTAGGTGCAGGGGCGGCTGGACCTTCGCTGTAGCTGGTGTGGGCGGCTGGGGCTGGAGAGGTGGCTGCTGCGGAGCTGTAGGCAGAGGTCTGGGGCCTGGATTAGAGGGGAAGGGTTACAATGAGGATGGTCCTGGGGGTCCTGGGCCCTGCAGCTGTGGCCTTCAGGAGGAGGAACCTGGAGATGCCCTTGGGGAGTGGGGTGGGGTCGGGGGGCTCAGAGAGGAGAAAGCTGCTCCTTTGGTGAGAGGGCGGAAGCGATCACCAGATGAGGACACATGGAAAAGTCACCTCTGCCAGCGGGGAGAGACTGTCTCCAGGGACAGCAGGCTGAGGCAGAGGGTGATGGAGTCTGTCACAGCTGGGCTCCCCCTGGGCGTTCCTAGTGTTATGGGGGGCAGGCAGATGATAATGGGGAGCCCCGTGCAGCAAACATCATGCTTCCTTACAGAGTTCCCGTTCCCTCCTGGGCTGGTCATGAGCCTCTTGCCACGTGTGGCCCAGGGACCAGGGGACCAAAGAGATGGAGAAAAGAAGACACCATTTCCTACTTCACGACCCCAGGAAACACTGTGCTCGGCCCGTGCCCTGGCCCAGCAGCTTGTATAACCTCGTCTTTTCCAGGGTTCTCTGAACCCCCTTATCTTCACTTATAACCAAGGAAGTTATAAGTGCCTTAGAGGAAATGTGGGTTCCCTGTGTCTTTTACATCCACAAGGAGACATATGACTGCACCCAGAACAGATGGGTCTTTGACGGGGAGCTGGAGAAGGGGACCCCAGGACACACCCGTCTCAGCTACAGCTTCCTGCGTTCCTTCCACCTGCTTGCCAGTGTCTCAGGCTGCCCATCCCTGCTGGTCAGAGCTGCAGAATGAGGCAGTGCCCTCCTCTCTTGGGGTCCAGGAGGGGGCCCTGGGATAGGAGCCCTAAGGGACAGTGACAGACCAAAACGCAGAAGGGTCTCAGGAAGCCAGCGTCCCAGGCATTTGCCTCCTGTGAGCTCCCAGTAGCCCAGTACCTTCCCAGCCCACGTGCAAGGAGAGGAGGTTGCTGGGCTCAGGATGCATACCCTCAACCCCTGCTGCTCCAGCTGGTGCCCTGTGGGGCTGCCCTCTGGGCTCTCCCCAGGTTCTCCCCAGACTCTGTTGCTCTTATTCCTCCCCAGTACTGGGGATGAACCCAGGGCCTTGTGCGTGGTAGGCATGTGCTCCCCCACTGAGCTGCACCCCAGTGCCTGTCACTCTCAGCGAGGTGGAGGGAAGAAGGGCCCCCATAGAGGGTGTACCCCTGGACAAGAGGCTGCCCTCAGCAGGGCTGAGGGAGGCCACATGGCCCATAGGCATCAGCATCTAGGGCTGCCCAATCCAAATAGGGAGGCTTCTGCCTGCTGCACAACATCTCTTACCCTCCTCTAAGTGTTGTTGGTGTGCAAGTAGCAAGGCCCACATGTTAAGATTCTGCAGTGAAGAAGGGAAGCAGTTTGCTTATCCTCCACCAAGAAATCTGATTTGTTTGTGGGACTGGGAGTTGGACCCAGAGTCTTCTAACTGAGCTTCATGCCCAGTCTTTTTTTTTAAACTTTTTATTTTGAAGCAGGGGCTCACTGAGTTATTAAATTACCCCCAGGCTGGGTTTGAATTTGTGATCCTCATACCTCAGCCTCCCAGGTGCTGGGGTTCCAAGTGCGCACCACCACACCTGGCTTTACCCCTGTGGCTTGAGATGGGCTGGGAAAGGCTGGGCTTGGTGATGGGGCCCCATTGTGAAGTCTGCATAGGGCCACCTGGCCTCAGCCTGCACCCCACACCTCTGCACCCTGACCTGGGGGGATGGGAGGGGGAAGCTGAGCTATACTCCAAACACCAACTGGACAGCTCCAGGAAGCCCAGGGAGGGAAAGTGGGGCCAGGCTGCCTCCAAGTGACCTGTCCAGCCTGTCCTCTCCCCCTCCTGCACACCCTGCCCTGGGTCAGCCTCCAGGAACTCAAAGACTTGTGTCTTTTGTGTGTGTTTTATATACATTTTGCCCATTACCATCCTATAAATCCATGTGTCATTTTAAACATCTTAATGGAAGAGGACACTGAGGTTCAGAGAGGTCAAGGCACTGTCCAAGGTTACAGACTGGAAGTCATAGAGCAGAAGTTCAATGCCAGGTGTACCAGATGTCCCTGGAGATGCCAAGCTCTCCATCAGGAGAGGGGAGGGAGGTGGGCAAGTTATGATCCACATGTCTGACCCAATCTTATCCCCTTCCCTGCCCAGCGCAATGTCCCCAGGCCATGGGGATGACTTTTCTCCTCTCTTAGCTGACTTCTGGCAACGAAGACTCCATCCAGTGCCCCTTTGTTACCTAACTCTGTGTGCATGTGTGACTTTTACCTGTGTCACTAGAGATGTGTCCCTGGGAGGCAGGCAATGTCCCCTGGACCCAGTCCCCTGGGCCGTTACCTTGGGCTGTCCGAGGGGCTCGAGGTGGGGGCTGCAGCGGAGGCGGTGGCAGCATGGGCAGCAGCTGTGGCTGGGGGTGGCGAGGCTGCGCTGGGAGAGGCGGCAGCAGGCAGCTGGGCAGAAGCGGGCAGCAGCGGGGAGGCGGCCTGGCTGGTGCACACCGGAGCATGCTCAATGGGGGTGCTGACGGGGCAGGAACAAGAAAGACAACAGGTCAAGGGGGCCAGGCCTTCGGGGACCGCTGCGTGGGGCAGGTGTGTAGACAGTGCTGTGGCTCTGCAGACCCAGCAGGCTCCCCCGGGGGGCGCATCCTCTGGAGACAGGGACAGAACTCCTCTGGGGTCTCAGAGGAAGCTCAGAAACTGTTCATTCTGGGGAATGTTTTCACCCCAGTTTTTCTGTACTTCCGATTTTTCTTTCTCAGCAAAACACAGCAGAGTGGAAATGTAGATTTAATTAGCAATCAGGTTCCTCTCCCATTCTGTTCTTTCCCTTTCATCTTTCCCCATCCGGTTAGGGGCAAGTGTTGCCTTTGGGGAGGGACAATACGCAGAAAAGCGAGGGAGGGCCCTTGAGTATCGGGGTCTTAGGCGCTGGAGTTGTGAGAAACTGGCCTTAAACTCCAAGGACACAGGACTGACGCCACCTCTGCATGCCGCACAGAAGCCGTCTGCCAGGGAGACCAGAAGGGGGCGATGTGGCAGGGAGATTCCAGGATGGAAGCACCTGTGCCCGGGGGAGGCCAGCACTTGAGGCAGGGACTGGGCTGGGTGGCCTGGGTGCCAGAGGGTCTCCCACACACCCGAGTGTTGTGGACATGGCACTAACTGGGAAGAGCAGAGATGGCCGATGGGGAGGGGACATCCTGAAGTTGCCAGTGTAGCTGGTCCAGAAACCTTTGTGCTCCTCCCCTGCCTGGTGTCCTGTGAGCTCCTTCTCCCCAGATCCCTTCTGGGAAGACAGAGGAGCTACAGCCTGGGCCGAAGGGATTAGATTTTTTGAAGCAGAGAATAAAATTTAAATTATAGGGTCAGGGATTTAGTTTAGTGGCATCACGCTTGCCTTGCAAGTATTATAAGGTCCTGAGTTCAAGCCTCAGTACCAAAAAAAATTAAATTATAGGAAAACCAAGAAATCCACTTTCTTTGCTTTTCTTTTTCTCTGTGTCCTTCCCTTCCTCCCTCCCTCCTTCCTTCCTTCCTCCCTCCTTCCTTCCTTCTGTTCTTCCCTCCTTTCCTTTCTTTTCTTTTCTTTTGGTACCGGGGATCAAACTCAGAATCTTGTGCTTTCGAGGCAGGCAGCGGAACCACTGAGCTAAAACCCCAGCCCTCTCCTTTTTTTTCTTTTGAGCAAGATCTCTCTGTGTTTCCCAAGCTGGTCTTGAATTTGTGGGCTCAAGTGATTCTCTTGCCTCAGCCTCCCAGATAACTGGAACTTACATGTGTACACCACCACTCCCTGTCATTCTTTGCGCTTTTAATTGGCATTGGTATTTATATTTGCAACACAGTGACAGAATAAGTCAACTCCTATAACTAGGAATAACTTTCCCCCTATAGTGTGTGATTCACTTATTGCCCTTGTTCTACGCACTCAGAATTATGTCTGGAATCCCTCACAATCACCCTCTGATGTGGGTATTATCGACTGTTTAACAGAGAAAGAGATGGAAGCAGAGAATTCCCTAGGCTAAGGTTCTCCAATTCACCCAAAGATGCACATTACCAGCCCCAGGGCTGGTGCCCGTTTTGACCACTGCCAGGAAGCACCTAGGATGGGGCAGGGCCTCCGCTGCAACCTGCCCAGGCCTCCCGGCTTATTGGTCAGAGAGGACCTTGGGCAACCCAGCCTGCAGGCCCGTGGCAATGCCTAGCCTTGGCTTTTCCATGAGACACTGGCCGCCTTCTATGGAAAGCCTGTGACGCTGTAGCACTGGGCTGGCCCCTTGGGCCCTGCTCCCACTATGGCAGGCATGGGAAGGCCCAGGCTGACGCAGGACACAGGTCTCTGGTTGGCCTGCCCCTGGTGCCATCCCATATTTGCAGTGGGCCTCTGAGAGCTACATGGGACAAGAGTGATAAAAATGTCTAGGCTGGGTAAGTGGGAAGCTGGCTTTGGCCAGAGCAACTTACCTGCAGCTCTCCCAACCATTGATCCAAATGAACCCCAATTTCAGGGCTCTAGGGAAGGGCCTCAGGGCCGGAACAAAGGTCAGCACCGAGGGCGCATGAATACCCATGTGAGGCTGCTGCTTGGGTTCTTGCTGGGTCGCATCCTATCTGGGACCAGGGTCTTCAGGGCCCAGGCACCCAGAGCCCAGGGAAGGGAGGGGAGGCAGTGAAGGGCACCCTGACAGAGCTTGAGTTCTCATGCCAGGTCAGTTCCTGAACAAAGTTCTGAAAGTCTCCAGAGACCCTCCAAAAAGGGCCATCAGAGAGTAAGCCATGCAGACAAGCTTGAAGGCTTCAGTCCTAATACAGTGCTCACAGCTCACCCAGACTGGCCTAGGATTCTACCACTGCCTCCTGCCTTAGCCAGAATTCACTTTCTTTATTTTTGGTGTTGGAGATTGAACCCAGGATCTCAAACCTGCTACCATGTTCTGCCACAAAGCCCCACCCCCACCCCATGATCACATCTAAGCAAAAATCAAAACAGAGCCAGACTCTACGTTCACAGCTGGATGGGGGAAGGTGTGGCGGGAGACAGCACATCTGGCTATGGTCCCTTTCAGAGCTCGCTGCTGCCCTCTGCCAGAATGGCATCAAGAGAGAGTATGCCCATCCTGTGCCCTTGCTCTGGGGTGGTGGGCTTTGGTGGTGGCAATGGTGGGGTTCAGTGGATGCTGTCACTGAAGACAGTGATGTTTGGAGAGGACAGGCTGGTAATAGGGAAGGAGCTAGGTTGTGGGGTTTGTGGTCACTTGTCCAGGTTGGGAACCATGGGTGATGGCGGGCATGTGTGGTTGGCATTGATGATGTGGAAGGGGTGGTCAGTGCTCCTTGTGTGGGCTAAAATAATCCCTGTTGATCAGATGATGATGGAATACCAGTTGGGTGGCTCGTTGTGAAACGGTTCTCACTGCCACCCACATGGTCTGCATTCCATCTGGCAGCCATGTCCCCTTGCAGGGGAGCCAGGGCTATGTTGACACTGTGGTCCTCATGAATGACAGCCCAACAGCACCAAAGTCTTTGCTTGTTTGCAATTTGACCTCAGAATACACCCAAACCCCCCTAACCTGAGACTCTAGATGCAAACACTTCTGAGTGTCTCCTCCTCTACATCCCTCTATTCCAGCCCAACTGGTGAGCCTGAGGCTGGGACACTCCCTTCCCATCAGCATCTCTGTCCCTCCGCTCAGACTGCTTCCCAGCCTTCCCTGCCTGGGATGCCCCTGTCCCACCATGCCTGAAGATCAAACACATGGACCTCTCCTGGAACCCCAGATCCTCCAGTCCAACGGACCCCAGGCAATCCAGCTTACATTATGGTCCCACTTGCATGGTCCCTTTCTGGTTTCTTACTGTGTGCAAAACACCCACACTTCTATTCACAGGGAGGGCTCTGCATGCATCCCTGCCCGGGGCCACACAGGGAACTGCACATAGCGGTCCTGGGTAGCTGAGGGCACCAGAGAGGCGAAAAGCAAACCAGAGCCTTCCAGAGCTTTAACAGAGCAGCTCCAAGAAGGCTCCTGAGGGCTGGGGATGAGTCCTAAAGCTGGCCAACTCTGAGACTGGCTCTGGTCCCCTGCCAGCCTCCAGGTGCCAACCGCTTGGGACTTCTCTCCCACCCCACCCTTGGGACTTGCAAGTCCTCACTAAAAAGTCAGTCAAATATGGCGTATTCCGGGCTACCTAGAGGAAGGCAGGTTTCCCTTTCCTCCTGATGTGAATGCCCAGCCAGGCAGATGCCCACTTGGCCCTGGCATCTGACTGTCAGAGGCAGGAAAGGGGGAGGCTGAGGAGGGGCAGGCTGGCAGGAGTTTTGGGAAGGGGAGGTGGGCAGGAGCAACAGCTTCCCCTGCCACCCTTCCAGGGAAGAGTGTTAAGGTGCCCAGAGGTGGGACAAAGGCTATGTCCACACAGGGGCAGTGGGAACAGACTGGGAGCAGGGAGCAACAACAGAGGAGCAGGGAGCCCTGAGGCTTGGGCCCTGGCATCTGCCTTCCTTTGCCAAGTGCTGTTGTCTTCATGGCCTCAGTCTGGGATTCACTCCATGGGGAACTGGGCTGCTGGGTAGACAGGCAGGCAGGGTGCTGGCTCTCCAGGGACAGAACCTCGGACCTGTTGCTGCCCTGACCACCCTCACCAGGTGCTCTGGGCAAGCACAGGGACAGGTGGGGCCTTCCCTGCCCTCCTCCTGCCACCAGGACTTCCAGACCCCTTCCCTCTCCTCCACACAGAGCCCCACTGGCCCCTCCGGTTTCCCTGTGCACTGCCCGGCATGCCCCAAACCTGCTTTTGCCTCCTGGACCCGGGCTGAGCCTGACTGTGGCCTGCTGGGGAGAAGGCGCCTGCAGGCTCCTCTAATGGGGCCAGGGAGGGTGGCTGAGCTTTCTGGTTGCAGCTGGTGGGTGACGGGGGCGTGGGGGGGTCCTGCAGCATTCCCACAGGAGACCCAGGCTGCCCACAGACCCACAGTATGATCTCCACGCCGTCCCCCCTGCCCTGGGTGCTTTAGGCCAGGCACAGGCCTGTGGGTAGGACAGCAGCCCTGAGCTGATCTGCCCAGGTCCCCACTAGCAGTCCCTGTGCTCCTTCTTCCATTACACAGCCCTCACAGCCCGTCTCGGGGCCAAGCACAGGCACAGCATGATGGGGCGGGGTTTGGTTCATGTCAGATCCTCTTTATTCAGAACAAGCATGTTTGTCTGTACAGGGAGGGTGAGGCAGCATGTGGCACAGAGGGCGGGACACCCGCCTGCCTCACTGCAGCCCAGAGGGATGGTCTCTGGCCATCTGTCCAGCCTTTCACTTCCTCTGCCCTGGGCTCCAGAAGGTGGCGAGGGGGCTGCAGGGCCTGGAGCCCTGCTCTGGGGTGACTTGCTTGGGGAGAGCATGAGCCAGCAGTGGAGGGAGGTGGCGCATTCTGGCTCCCTTGGTTCTGCAGGAGCAGTGGGAAGCCCGCCCCGTCTTCTCTGATCTATGGCTAAGGGCCTGTGCAGGGAGCAGGGGCTT